CATACATCTGATACGCCCATCCTGGGAAAAATGGTCTTGCATATAGATTTTTATTCTAGTCTATGTAGCTCTTCATCCATTATGATCTTGTTTTTTCTGCACTTTGTCTTTTAATGTCTTGAGAAGCTGTAGCCATTTCATGAGAGTGGGTCTGTGCTACCAAGTATTAACATACCATGCCCTCTCAATAGGACATTATTTATTTAGGTATTTCCTGAAAGTAAAACAAATAACTCATTGGCATCAAAAGCTTATCCTTACCTCGCATCCATGTCATGACTGTTCAAAAAGCCAGGCTTGGCACACGTGGGCCTGATTTACGAAGCCCACTGGACGCTGCACAAGAGACATATGCATACATAGGTGATCTCATGCATGTTCACAGCAGGTTCAAGATATCTAGTATGTGATTTTTTTGTTTCTCATTTGCTTTAGGCCTCCTTTCAGACTGAAAGCCCAAGAACCATAATCTCATTCCTGAAAACACACTTTCCTTCCTGCCACACCTTCCCCATAACCTGCTGTATCTACATCATTTGCAAGCTTTTTTGTAGAAGACCATCTATTTTTTTGTGCTTCTCTGGTGCTGGATATCAGTCTTGTTTGTTGGCCCTTAGATAACAGTGTAGTAAAGATAGTAGCAATAATCTTGTGGTTCAAAGAGGCATCTTGTCTGAATTTATTGTTATGATATAGAATCTGTTAAAAGATCACTTTTTGCATTGAACTCAACCTTGTGAGTTGAGAGCTGTTTAACGGCTGAAGGACAGTTATGTTTTTCATGGATGTTTCCCATTTTTTACACAGAACTAAAGAGATGGACAGCTGTACTGTGCAACGTGCTTAAATACTCGGTGGTCATGTGCCACTAGCACTTCACAAACACCTTTGACTGCTGAAAGTCGTCCTCCGTCTAACCTCCACTTTTGCATTTTCGCCGTAGCCAGGAGTTACCACCGGCACAACTTTGCCAAAAAGGTGTAGCCAGGGGAATAAATGCACACGACTCTGCTTCAAGCAAGTTCCGCTGGGTTGGTTCAAACAGCTGACAAAGGCCGGCTTGCACTAACCAGCACGCTTTGTCTTGGGCAGCTTAGGAAAACAGCAGCACAATTCCAATTTATGGGGCTATGGGAAGAGCCCTGATTTCTGGGAATGCCCATTCCAGATGCCTGGCATCTTTAGCCTGCAGAGCCAGGTCTGGAAGAGGATGTTTACCAGCAGCCTCTAAAATAAAGACTGTTTTCTGAGGCTACAGTCACGCGGTCATTGTAGAAATGGCTTTATGGCACTTGAAGACGTCCATTCCCACCCGTAAACTGGAAATTACCCTCTTCCTGGTACAGTTCAGATGTCAGAATAAATCATCTGGGCAATCCTCGTGTTTCAGCACAAAGGCAGCAGGTTAGTAAGTGCTGGTAGGAGTGATGTCAGTTTACCCACCTGACCTTCCGCTGGAATTTAAACACCAATTTTTTTATACAGTCTTCTCCACTATGCAATAGGGCTGACTGTACAGCTGCTGCGGAGCGATGACAAACATCTGGATGTCAGTCACATCTTAAACTGGCACAGCTGCTTCTTCAATAAATACCTGACCCGAGACTGAAGATTAGTCACTTCGCTGCTCAAGGCTTTCTATGGCAGTGTAAAGGACCTGGAAAGTATGCAAACTACAGCTCGCTGGAGACTCCTCCTGTGCAGAAGTAACTTTTAAAATGATGCATATATTTTAGGAGGAGGAAATTCCCACGTGGGAAACGTAGAGTTTTTACCTGAATGTGGAAAGGCCACAAATGTACAGGCATTTTAAGTATGCAAGGCAACCAATTCTCCGTCACTTAGCTAACAGGAAACGTCAAAATAGCTGAGGCATGAAAGTCAGTAACAGCCACAAACAAAGTAATCTCTGGTGAGTCTAACTGTGAAAACTTTGAAACATGTTTTTCCCCCAACTTTCAAAACAACTTCCTCCAGTCCCAAAGAAACTGAGTTGATACTAAAAAACTAGCTCTCATAAGAATAAAAATTTGTCAGCTGCCTCAGAGCACACATTCTCCACCAGCACCGTGTGTGCCGCAGCAAAGCTGTGGGTGAATGCTACCGAATAGCTGTATTACCCACCCCCATCTGTATATGGTGCCGAGAGCTGCTGATAGTATTACTGCTGAAGTGAGTGCCTCAGTAAGTCCGGAGCTTCTGTTTTGGAAGAAAGTGGCGTTAGCTAGTCCTGACAAAACTTGCCTCGTTTGGACTCTGACTTGGTATTTAGCAAGTTACTGAGCTTCATTTGACAGGTTGAATAATGAAGGATCTGTCGCATCTGTAGGTAAATAGTTTTAAGGAATAATTACCTTTGGTGTTGCATTGTTTTTGATCTTGCTTCACTTTCCAACCATTTTGTTGAGCTGTCTTTTCCTACTTGATTTAAATGGCAGTGCTCGCAGAAACCACTTTCCCACGTGGGTGCTTTATACACCAAGATCAGGTCACCCCTAGCCTTTTGGTAGGTGTTTGGTAGTATGATGGTACTGGTGCAACCTTTTAACTTTCACTTGAGTTTGTGCACAATATTTTCTTCCATGGTTTGTAACAGAAACTTTTTTTTTCTGAAAATTTGCCTTGAGTGTTTTGAAGCGTCTGGCTCTTTCAGGCCATCTTCTGACACACTATGTACACACTTGTTCCCCTCTAAGACCAGCTTGTTGTGATGTGGTAGGAAAAATTTCTGAACCTGAACCATTTGTCTAACCGCACCATTGCAGCTTTCACTGTTCGTTGCAACTGCTGTAGCACGAATTTTTTTTGTAGTGTGAGCGTTGCATAAAAGATTTGCTCCAACCAAATCTCCTGTCACACTACTGAAAGCCTGTAAAAACTCTCCTCTTGACAGTGAGGCAGTGGTCTCACCGCTAGAAAATGGGGCTGTAACGTAAAAGTCTGCCTTTTCTCAACGTGATAGCATCCCCTGTTGTAGCAGTAGCAGTGTAGTGAGGACACAGGCATTTATACAGTTACATTGTACTGCTGTAGTTCTTGTTTGACAGAGACTGAGGTAGGGTGTGAAAGAAGCCGATGGTACAGTAGTTACAGGAATTGCTGCCATACGAGAAGCTGCAGTGCTGATGAATTACAGGCCATCAATTTGCCAGTGTATTTTGCAGCCATATTGTGCAAGACAACTGTGAAAGGCATGCATTAGAGACATGAGTTTGCACTTGAACTGAGACTTGACTTAGTCTGTTAAGGACTTCATTATTATTCCATGTATTATTCCAACAGTCTTGAAGTGGGTCAGGTACTGAAAGGGAAGCCAGTGCTGGTTGGACAGCATTAATTTTGGTTATTATGTGCATTGTCTGGTTAGACCTGTTTTTAAAATGTGCCACTACATGATACACTCATTACAGCAACCTCATCGTGTCTCCTGCCAGTCCTCAGCACGCTGCCTGTAAACAGTCCACTCCGAGTCCGCCGGCGCTAGGGGCAGATCTTGTGCAACTGGGTGGTGGTGGAGCCTGCTCTTGGGTTGGCTGATGGGATGGAAAGCGATACACACAGCTCTAAGGGAGAGCTTGGGTTAAGCTGTGCCCATCAGCAAGGGTTTTGCCTGCTAAGTCAAGTCACTAACAGAGAAAATAGGGTTGAGATAATACCTCAACATCTCTTTTTCTTCCTGCTTGCAAGAATATTTGAAAGTACTTTAGGCTGTTTTAATTTTGAAACTGTTGAGTTGTTTAGACTGTCATATTTTAGCATTTACTCTATTTGTGGTGGCATTTAAATGCAACAGAAATTAAATTTGAACACAGCCCAGCCAAATGTTCTAAGCAATGAGTTTCCATGAAGGAACAAGCAAATAACTTTATGCTGCCTGTTTTCCATCTTGCCTTGCCCCTCCGCAGCCTTTCACTGCACCCCCAGGCCTCTCAGCTGCCCCCACTGCTTCCATCATGTGAAAAAAAAACCAAACCCAAACAAACAAAACCCAGTCGTCCTCCTTTTTTATAAAAAAAAAAAATAGTATTTACATTATTTCTATAGAAGGAAGAAAGGAGAGCAAAACCCCCTCCAAAATTACAGATCTACCTAATATGCTGGTAGCTTTATTATGTTGTTATACCTCTCCATAAAGTCCTCGGAAGCAGTGATGGAGGAAGATAAAAACAAGCTTTTTCTTTATCCAGGACATGCAGGAAAGAAAAGAAAAAGTCCCAAATTGGATAGAAACAATGTGAAACAGTGTGCCTTGAAATTGTTCTGTTTCTTTGAAGAGAAATGTAATAGTGCCCTGGTAAATCATGTTTCTGAATATTTATCAGGTTTTTACAGGCCCCTATTGTCCCTGTACCTATTGTAATCTATGAGCCTTGTACACAAATCAGTCAGTTATTGTTTTGATTTGCAGGGGAGGGATTAAGGCACTAAAAGTATACATTTATCTGGTTGTCCTGAGCTTTGTTGTTCTTTCAGTGATTTGGAGCAAAGTTTTGCTTTTGGCAGAACTACTTTTGGCAGAATCCTCAATACGATCTATTTAAAAACACCCTGTGGTTAATTAATTGGATGCTTGTTTTCCTGGTGCATATCTCTGTGTTGTTACAAAAAAATATTTTTTTTTCCCCCATGTTGTAGAAATTGTGATGAAAAGAATGATTCATTTACTGTATCTCCCAAAATAATAACATGGGAAAGTGAGGGAACTGTCTTATACATCCAGTTACTGTGTCACATATCATTCATGCAAATCTGAAAACAACCATCATATGCAAAGTGATGCAGGCACTTACTGAAGAAAAAAAAAATAGGCAAAAAAAAAAAAAAAAGCCCTCCCCCTGATTCTGGGCTTTAAAGGGAGAGAACTCACTGTTTTTCCCACCACAATATGCAAATGCTATTTTAATTTTTTTTTTCTGCAGTAGGACCTTACAGTGAGGTCAAGCTGTGAAATGCTTACCCCTGTGTTTGCAGTCAGGCATTTAGGTGCTCCGCGGACCAGGATGCGGTCATTCTGTTTCCTGCTGTGATAGAAATACTTCTTTTTCTTTATGTTTGTGTATTTCAATGGTCAAATAGCACTGATGATTGCGGGGGTAAGGGAATATGTAAGGAAGACCTGAAAATATGTATGTATGATTCCTTGGAAGTGATGTTTACTTTCAAAAAACACCCTTGGTTCCTGGCTTTGGTGGACAATCAAGCCTTACCAAGGAAGAAGTCACCATCTGAAATAAAGAAATCATATTCTCAGAGGTATATAGAGAATATTTTTCTGTAAGTTAAACAAGAGCCATGTTCTGCTTTTAAAGGCCTGATTATAAAAATGTAAATTTAGATTGATTCTAATGTAATGTACTCTTCACATTCTTCTAAAATTTCTGCCACCCCTCACATGATTAAGGTAAGTAAGTGCTAAATCAGATTATAAAAACAGCAGATAATAGGACCTCAGAAAAAAAAGAAACAGTGAATGACTGCTTTGGGTAATACTGAGCTCTTCTCTGCACAGCCTAAGTTATTTTGGGGGCCTTCATACCTCTGCATGTTGTTGTGGTTGGTGTAAGATGCGTTTAAGGCTACTACAACGCACAGATGTGAACTTTCCAACAAGGGTGACCATTCTTCTGCACAGGAACCGTTACTTCACTGACGGACTAACAGAAGATACATAAGATATGTATGTGAGATAGCTGAGATGACCCAGTTAAGCAACAGGGTGGCTAACTCTTCCCATGCAAATCTGTCCTTCTCCACCCACCTGTCTTCCTTCTGGCTTTGACCCACCTAGAATTAACATTATAAGCCCTTAACGAACCTCTAAATTAGTTCTTTGTGTAAGCTCAAAGGCTAATTTTTAGTGAAACTTCATTTTGTACATTATGTATGGAAATAGAAAATTTGCACTAAAAAACCAGTAATGGTCTCTGCCTTGGACAGTCACAGAACAGATGTCAGACATGAAGGGAGGAGCCACAGGTGAATTTCTATATAGCAGATATACCCGCTGGGTCATAAATCTGCACAAAAAGAAGGCTGAAACTGCAAATGCAGCTTTTAGTAATAAAGTTAGAACTAGCGATATATTTATGCTGGTGTGTTGTAGCTATAAGCTCACAGTGTAACATAAAGCTACTTGACATGAGAATTGAGATCACTTGGTAGAAGAGGAATTTTATTTTTTGTTGAGCGTACTGTGCCAGACTGAACAGCAACTAAGAGTGAGTCAGCACTTTTCCAACTTTTAGATAAAAATGTGCATTAGTAGCAACTTAGATGAAGAGAAGGCAAGAGGCTGGTGGTCCAGGGCTGCCATAAGCATAAGGCCAGTATCAGAGGAAGCACAAAAGCAGTAATTAGAGAAGTTAATCTAGAGAAATCTGCAGTAATGTATACAGTAGAAGTTGTCCTTTTTCTTCTTTCTTGAAAGAAGAAACACCAGTTCCTCAAAAACAGTTTGTGGGGAAAGTTTTGGTTTTTGAAAACAGCGCTAAATTTGTTGAAAAGTACTCTTGTAACATTTTCAAAATAAAAACTCTGTGTTTCAGTACAAATTTACTTTTTACTTTAGTTTTGCAAACTGTTTTTAGAAGAGTCAAAACTAAACCTTTTCAAATGACTTGATCTTAACTGTCACAGAATGGAAAAAAAAATATTAAGATAAGAGATGTCCTCCTTTGGCAAAGCAAGTACTTAGGAAGGGAAATAAGATTGAAATTATATTGAAACAATGTGGAAGCTGTATTCTTCATATTAACAAATGGCAATCTTTCCCTTCTCATCTCATCTTTGTTTCATCTGCATTTGACTATACTGTAATTTTGAAAAGGACTGGTTTGTATTGCATAGTCATGTTGCAATCATTGTTTATTGTGTTGCTGTTATATAACATCTTCTCTAGGCGTATATACTTAATTCTGATCAGGAGATTAAAAACTATGTCGTATATGAACATGCATAGTCCCAATGGGAAGGGGTTGTAACAAACTCAAAATGACAAAACCGGTGAAATTACTCTTACGGAAGGCAAACTAGCTCAGAGAAGGTATGTTCCTTCCATGCCCTGAGGGCACGTGTTGCATAGAGGCACCTGTAGGAAAACAGTAATGACAGAGGTTAAGTGGAGCTGGATGCAAAATGTGCATCACAAGACGTCTTGCTATTCGGAGTCCAGTTTAAGAGTCACCTGAAAGAAATTCTCTTCCTGGCTATGCCACGTCCTTCCTCTGGGGGACCTTGAGCAAGGCGTGTTTTGACCCAGATTTCAATTTCATCCACTAACTTTTCAGTCAGTCCCCTGGCGACCGGGACCTAGATTGTCTCTGGCTGACCAGCCTAACTGTCAGAGGTACCACGCGGCTGCTACCTCACAGAATCTGACATTTTCAAAACATTCTTCCCTTTTACAGCAATTGCCCTTTCCTGAATGACCTATATTTAACTCCGGGCTCATGTAAGCGTTGCCTCAGGTGGCACCCTCATTTCTCAGGCACGCACTGCGACGAAAACACAAAATGTAAATAAATAAAAACGCCTTGCATCACGCCATCCTGTCAGCCTCCGCGGAGGGATACGCCTACCCGTGACATGATTCAGAGGGGCAGAACTGACATCCGGGGGACTTCAAAGAGCAAGGAATAGGAAAAGGAACAAACTGCCCTTCCTTTTCCAGCTGTGCAGAGCAGGTTTAATACCAGGTAGCCAAAACACGGGGCAGGTGCTTTCCGCCTGGGCACAGGGCTACGGCGATGCCCCGTTTTCCACAGGCCGGCGGGGCTGCAGCAGCGCTCAAGCCACGCTTGATGCTGCGAGGCCCGCTCACGCTTCCCTGTGCGGGTGCCAGAACCCACACTTCAACCCCAGTGAAGCATCCGCCGCCAGCCCAGGACGCGGGGCAGCTCCGGGGCGGGA